ATATCATCATAATTTAAACAAATAGATTATTCATTGCTATAATGTGTATATTTTTATTAGTACAGTGCCTTAATCTATATTATATTATAAAACATTTAACAAAAATTCTTAAAAACCATTTTTTATGCATGAAATATTGTTTACTGATACATATTACTTAAAATTCAAGATTACAAGTACATTGTGCGTGAGTACAACTTATTATAACTTTATGTTTGGATTCGTGTAACTAACTATAGATAAACATAATCAAATAGATGATAAAAATATTTTAAATATAAAAAATCTAAAATATAATTAGGATAATCATTGAGTTCTAATAAAATACTTGATTATTATCTTTTTAAAAAATTATAATATTAAACCAAAAAAATGAATTAAAGAAATACACAAAAAATGAGAAAATTTAAATAGTTAGTTTCGTACTAATATTAATATATATATATATATATATATTTCAATTTTTTACGATATATTCATATTTATATTTCATTCAAACATAAAAACATTATTATTTTCTCAAAACCACATAAAATTGTATTATAACATCAACTGAGACAAAAAAAAATTAAAATCAAGATCTCGCAGCATTGTGCGAGTACTCTTCTATTATAAAATATTTGACAAAAACTTTTAAAAATTATTTTTATGCATGAAACACTGAGTATTTATGTATATTACTTAAAAAATTAAGATCACAAGTAAATTGTGCGTAAGTACAACTTATTAAAACTTCATTTTTGAATTTGTATAACTAACTGTAGATAAATACAATCAAATATAAGATAAGTATCTCATTTTAAATATAAAAAATCTAAAATATAATTAGGATAATTATTATCTCCATAAAAAATTTATTGTTTAGACAAAAATAAATTATTTCACTATTTGACTTTCATTAAACTATAATAAAAAATTGAATTAAAGAAATTGTATAAAAAACGAGAAATTTTAAAAAGTTAATTTTGTATTTACATTGATATATTTTTCAAATTTTATGATGTCTTTAAATTTATTTTTATTTAAAAGTAAAAACATTATCTTTCTCAAAATTTAAAACCACATAAGTCGTGTTATATCAACAGAGACAAAAAATAAAATGAAAATGCATCTCGTTGCATTGTGCGAGTACCCTTCTAGTATATAAGAAATGATTTGAGAGTACTATGTTGTAATTGGAGAAAGTAAAAGTATAATGATATAATAAATATTTGGAAAGTGCATTATTATTTCATTCATTTTACCCTGTAATACATATAGAGGTGTATGCGAGTTGAGTGGTTTACGACATGTATATAACCCAACCCAACTCATTCATAAACATAACTCAAACCTTGCGGGTTGAGGTAGGTGAAGATGGTTTGAAAGGTTAGTAGCTATATAAAATTGACGAATGAAATATTTTATAGAACTATAGTTTATAGGACAAAACTATAAAGTGTTTTATCTAAAAATGCTATAATACGTTTATAAAAATGTTTTCAACAAGTGTTTTAGGACGTTTTTTTAATTAAAATGTTGTATTAGTTATTTTATAAAACAATTTTAAGAAGTGTCATTTAAACTCATCTATGTATAAGACACTTGTGTTCATATGCTACTGTCTTAAACAATGTTATATAAAATAACTAATACGACAATTTATTTTAAAAGTGTTCTAATAACTTGTTTAGACTAAGATATGGTCAATCTTAGATTCATACTCAATGACTAAATTGTGATTCCCAAGACTGGGAGACTACGGTCGATAATGGATAACTAATACTAGGAAATATGGTCACCGAGAATAAGAGAAAGCATGAAAAGTATGAACTTAAACTTAAGAACAAGAGAGAAAATATGAAAGAATCTTTTATTTCCTTTCAAGGATGATATTCAAATGAAGGGAACCTTCATTTTATGGGCAAGGAAAAGGTACATTTGCATAAACATTACATAAGCATGACAAAAGCAAGCAATAATACAACCGAAATGAGGTAAGCGCTTACATCACATAAGAGTGATTTAAAGCTTACATCATTATTTTGTCCTCTAGTCGAGACAATTGTTAAAATCAATCTACGATAATTACTTCCAATGAGAGTCAGGGTAAGATAGATGGTCTTCATAAGAATCAAAGTGTTTTTCTCCTATGTCATAATGTCCATCTTCTTCTTTTTCGAAATCTTCATCATCGAAAGTGTCTATTTTCTTTGAGATATGAGTCTGGAACCAATGTTCAAGTGCTTTATCCCATGATTGAGAAACTGGATGTTCAAAAGACTAGAATTTCTCATTGTTCATAATATGCTATAGGGTTGATGTTGGATCTACGAGATTAGAACTAGCCAGGATTCGTCGTGTTTCCATATATATTCCTAGATGGGACAACTTGAAGAGCTTACTTCATGGGTTATTATCATTCCATTCGTGGATGAATGACAGTGGGGAGTGGTTGATCAATGACTATTGCTGACAGAGAGTCGTATGTGGTAAAAAGAAGCAGGTCTCCTAAACATGATCACAATGTAAGTTTTATAGCAGACAACTAATCGTTGAGTCCATTGATGTACTTGGAGGAACCATTAGAGAAGACTAAAAACATTACGTGCCCCTGGGGGTGGACCCTCGAACTTACATTGGAAAATGTAGCTAAGTAGTTTGGCAAAGTTGAAGGATATCGCGATTGTGTAAGACTTGAATACATACCAAAAAAACAAAGTGCTTCTTTTGGGAACTTATATAAGTTATGAATATGGAAGACATTATGGAAGGATATTCAGGATGGAATTGGAGGTTTCTCATGAACATGTCATGTTTCTTGACCGTGATAGTGAAAAACGTTTTGTAATTAAGTTGAGACCTTTTTCTTAAGGTAAGGTCGGCAATCGTTTATGTTATCTCATCCACTAGAACCTGTGGTGGAGTAGTGATATCTTCAACTAGATTGATCTGTTGCGGAGGTTGTGAAACGTTTAGAGTAAACGAGTTGGAAGAGCTTGCTTTCTCAACGGGAAACACCATTGGAAAGACCTTGGCTTTGTGAACAATCTGGATGTCTTTTGGAACATCATATTTATAGTCCTTTAGCCTGGACAGAAAACCTGCTAGAATATTTTCTAACCCCTTGATATGTTTCACAGTAAATTTTCATTGAGAGAACCAATTCGCCCACCTCAAAAGTTGGGATTCCGGGAGTATCTTTCTTCTAAAATGGAGCATCATGGGAAAGAAGATGTATCCATTTTAATCTGGAAGTCATGACAGATTAAATGGAATTGAAATCTTTCTATTCCCCTTTTGACTGCTAAATTTTTTTGGAAAGGTAGAGTGGTAATGTTGCTTCGAATATTTGAATGTGCCACTTTTGTATCCACAAATTCTTCTGAAACTAGCTTTGTCTTGAACTATTAGGATTCCCCCAATACTCATTGCTTGTGTCAATCTAGAGGATTCTTTTGTCAGTAATAGTAGAAATCTTAAAAGGAGGCATCACATCAACTAGCTACTTTATCTTCTTTATAGCTTATGTCTGTTTTTCACTCCAAGGGGCGGACTTTTCTTCAACGTGGGGAATAAGTGCACAATATGGCTTGATAATTTAGGCAAAAATTTTGCCATATAATTTGCTAGCCCAAGAAGTTATTGAATTTCTTTTTATGGCGTCAATAATCCCGAAAAATTGTGTAGTTCTTGAGCTATGGGAGGCTGTGGTTGGTACTTCCCATCTAATATTTTCATACCCAGAAAATCAATAACACTTATTCCAATTTCCATATTCTTTTCAGATAACATGATTCCATGCTTTTTGACTATCGAGTGAAACTTGGTGAGTAAATCTATGTGAGATTTTTCATCTGGTGAGAATAGAAGGATATTATTGATATATACCAGATTGTTGTTAATAATAGGTTAAAATTTCTTATTATTGCCTTTTGGAAGACAAAGCATTTTTGCATCTATGTATGCAGTGGCGGATGCAGAAACAAATGTTGTAGGGGGCACGATATAAAAATCTTTCCATTTGATTTGCCTAATTGCCTACAAAATTACCCACAAAATTAACCAACAAAATTAACCTAAAATACCTAACTAACCTAAAGCATTTACCAATTACTACAAAATTAACCAACAAAATTAACCTAAAATAAATACCTAACTTAAAGCATTTATCAATTACCACAAAATTAACCTAAAATAAATAACTAACCTAAAGCATTTACCAATTACCAATAACCAATTACCACAAAATTAACCTAAAATACTACTAATTGAAAACTTAGAAGATGGAAATTAGAAATTTAGAATATTTATTTACCAAGAGGCACAGCAGTGAGCAATCAGCAAGCAGCCAGCACAGAGCACACTCAGCACAGTCGGTCTCGCACTCTCGCTCTCGCCTCTCGCCTCTCGGTCAGTCCGACTAYGGCGACTAGGGTTTCTTCGGTTCTTCCTTCGTCGTCGTCGGTCTCGCACTCTGTCTCCTGTCTGTCTCGCTCTCGCAGTCGCCGCCTCGCCCTCGCCGGTCGCAGCACGCAGCAGTGCAGCACGCMAGAAAAAGAGGTCTCAGGTCAGCAGGTTGAGATCGCTACTCGCTACTCCTACTCGTGCTTGCAGGACTGCAGGTTAGAGAGGGGCCTCTTGCTCATATTGTTGGGGGCCCAAAGTATAGTTAATTAAAAATACAAGTAAATTTTTTTTTTTTGGGCTTTGTTGTTAAAATGTTGTTGGGGGCCCAGGCCCCCTACCCCCATAAGGTGCATCCGCCACTGTATGTATGTATGTATGCATGTATATAAATTTATTAAATTTAAACAACAATTAACATAATAAAGAACAGAGAGTATAATTTACATTCACTTATCATTATTTGAAATAAGTTATTGTCTAATGATCCAAAGATTTAAAAATTGTAGAGAAAGTGGGGTTTGGTGTAAAAAATGAGAAAGATAAAAGTAGAGGGGTTAAAAGAGAAATTTATTTCCTTAAGGGATAACTCATGATTGAAAGTGAAACCCACAATGTTACGGTAAATTCTGATTCTGCTATATAAGGATCGACACGACTGGGGTTACTAGGGCTTTTCCTTCTCCTTCAACAGGTGTAGCAGCGGCCGCCAATCGCCATGGTCCTCAAGTATGTTCTCCCTATTATTCCTTGTAATTCTTCATCTCGTTTGTTTGAATTTGCTAGTTTATTGTTTTTTTTTTGGATTGGAAAGTGGACGAAAATGACGAATCTGTTTGATCGTCACTTTCTCCAAATTGCGTCATTCAAATCTGTTCCTTAACGAGGTTGATGAATGCAATAACCTAATTCGTATTAAGGTCTCGAAATCGTCTTGCTGAAATAGGATGTTATCGTATTATTAGGGTTAGAATTGGAATCAGCTTGAGATGTATAAGGATTTATGCACTAAATGTACGGTTGTCCTAATTTTGTATTTGAGGTTACGCTTTCTCTTGCATTTTATTTATTTGCTTAGGTTCGTAAGTATGATGATTACATCCATGGTGATTCGGACCAAATAATGTAGATTGGTTAACTATGCTGTTATATTGAAGCAATAGAAAGATTGGGAACATTGGCCTATGAAAACGTTGTATCCTTCACGAGGAACAAATAATGTAGATTGGTTAACTATGCTGTTATAAGGGATCGTTTCTATCTTGACATTTGCTTGTGTGTTCATAGGACTGAGCTCTGCCGTTTCAGTGGCCAGAAGATATATCCAGGAAGGGGTATTAGATTCATTAGATCTGACTCGCAGGTATATGATGTGATTATGCATTAAGATTGTTATTTGTGTTTCTGGCATCGTATGTGAAGTCATTCAACTTGTTTTATGCATATATATATATATATATATATATTGTATATATTCTTCTTTGTTTTAGGTTGTTTCCATCTATTGTGTAAAATTAAAGATTTGGGTGTTTCAATTCAGGTCTTCCTGTTTGCAAATTCCAAATGCAAGAGGTATTTCCATAATAAGTTGAAGCCCTCAAAGCTCACATGGACTGCCATGTTCCGGAAGCAGCACAAGAAGGTGAGTCAAATCCGTTAACTTGATGTGTTGGGATTTTGTTCTGATGATCTACTGTGTTGGTGAAAGTCTAACCACATTTTCTCTTTTTCGACTTCTTACAGGACATTGCTCAGGAAGCTGTGAAGAAGAGACGTCGTGCAACCAAGAAGCCGTATTCAAGGGCCATTGTGGGAGCCACTTTGGAAGTTATTCAGAAGAAGCGAAGTGAAAAGCCTGAAGTCCGTGATGCTGCTAGGGAGGCAGCTCTTCGGTATGTTTATTTCTTCGGTGAATTTTTTGTAATGATTATGACTTTACCATTCGATCGTAAAATAATTACTCTTTTATATGTTAACCATATCTAAGTGAGATCAAGGAAAGGATCAAGAAAACCAAGGACGAGAAGAAAGCAAAGAAAGCCGAGGTAGTTTCAAAACAGAAGACCCAAGCCAAGGGTGGCAATGTTCCTAAAGGTAAGGGTCCTAAGCTCGGAGGTGGCGGTGGGAAGCGTTGAAAAGTACCATTGTCATTGCTAAACCTTTCAGTTTTTTGTATCGTTCATGTCAATTTCATCGTCCCGAACCTGTTCTTTTAGATGTTTGTTATCATTTACAATTTTGAGAGATTTTCAGATCTGCAATTTCTTGAAAGCAATTTATGTCATGGGATTTAAACACCTTTTTGTGCTGATACTCGAGCTCGAAACCCAATTTCCAAGCTCGAACTTGACTCGAAAACTCGCAAGTCAACTCGAACTCGATAACTATTTCTCAAGCTCGAACTACAACTCAAATCAAGCTCCCCATTGAAATTTATAATGTTTTAGTGTCTTTTTTTATAAATTTTAAAACTTAAAGGTGTTCTCTTAGTTTTTATAAAACTAAAAGGATCAATTTCAAACTTTATCATCAAATTAAAATGATATAGATTGTTAGTTGCACTAAATAGGAAAATGTATGTATTAGTAAACAAAAGCTTACCAACAAGGCCTAAGCCGTGCAATTTGCGTGGTGCCACAGTTCATGCAACCCAAATGCCGAAACCACCACACCTTCGTTATTGCAAACCCACCACCCTTCACCACCATATATAACCACATCCATCATCATTCACCTTCACCAAGATACAGTCTACAAGATTAAAATGGGTGGTTTAAAGGTGGTGACTGGTGGTTTGTTACTAGCGGCTGTGGTCCTTTGGGTGGCGTCGAAAACTACAGCTGCCGTGGACTGTGTGACCGTGACCACCCTTGTTTCAACATGCTCTGCCTATGTGACGTATGGCACCCCGGACCCCTATCCAGGGTCCCCTTGTTGCGATGCTATAGCTAGTATCAATAACCTTGGCGACTCTGAAGAAAACCGGCGATCGCTATGCATGTGCTTGATGGGTGTTATTACGACTTACAATCCAAATGCCACCGCCATCGCTACCTTACCCGGCTTCTGCGGTGTTTCCCTTGGCTTTACCATCGACCCCAATACCGATTGCAATTAGTAAGAATCTCTACACCTACAAAATATACATCTAAATAAAAGAATGTGTTGAAAATGTTGTAACATGTATTTTCTTTTGGGTGCAGCGTATGAGTCAGATCTCAAGAATACAAATAGGGGAAATGGGATGATGGATCCATTAAAGAATGCACAAGTTCTTGTTGATGGATGAAATGCTGAACCGAACGACAATTAGAGATTTGTGTTCTTTTTTCAGTTTGATTTCCATGTTTAAGTGTATATCATTCAGAAATAACAACCGATAACGTTTATAACTAGGGGCTGTTTGACAATTGCTGAATGATTTGGTGCAGAATGATTAAGTGATCAAAATGATTAAGAGGCTTTCATGATATAATGCAAAATGAAATATAATTATTTGGTAATTGTGTACAATGAAATTAGGGCTCTTAATAGTTAAGGGAGATCTAGAATACAAAATCATTCAGAGAGTTTTAGGATCATTAAGAGGCAGACTTATTTTTTGCCAAACAAGATTTATCTGTTAACGATTCAGATGTTGCCTCTTAATGGAACTATTAAGAGGTAAACACACAACCCTTAAGTTAGATGGTATAAAACGTGAATCACAATAAAGTTTGCATAAAATCGTTATAGAAGAAGAAACGGGTATGGTGCTGTTTGTTTGTTTACCTAAAACCGATCTGATTAGACGGTGCTGACCGAGCGTATATCTGGCCAACGTTATTGTTGCACTTACCAGGTCGACACGAGATGATAAAATGTATTTTATCGGTAAGCACATACCACAAAAGGCTTGATAAACAACCATTTTCAGTCAAGAGCTTGTCTGGACCGTGGTTAATGCTTATTGGAACCTGTTAAGTTTAAATGGCACAAACATATACAGTTATAGAATTACATCCCCAAACAGAATTCAGCTAACACACCATCGGACCATAACATAAAACAACCTGGATCATCAACCTAATCAAAAAAACAAACGATTTCGTTTTTGCAATCCAATAACCGGCTTAGAGGCCGAAATCTAGCTTTGAAATCCTCTCTCGGAGATGGTATCCGAATAATCCCAAATCACTCTCGTCGAACCCGACTTCTCAAACTGAATCCTCTGTCTCGGAGCACTGTGGGACCGCAGTTTTGCTCGTGAAGACTCCGTGTTCGACATGTAGTTTGGGTAACTCGGGTAATCCCCGAAAACGCTCCGTGAGTGTTCAGCAAACGGGCTCCGTTTATGGCTGCTTCCAGGTCTCGAAGCAGGGGAATGAACTCGAGGCGTGTTATCGGCTGTCGTTACGGCTTTCTCCGCTTCTCGAAGGATCATGGAACCCAACGGCAATACTTCCCTGGACCCATGTCGGTTCCACGGCTTCGGTGGTGTGGAATGCGAGTCGTAGGCCGACTTGTTACTCGGGCTCGGATCGAGCCGAGGCTTCCAAGTATCGACTTCAAGAATCTTGTCGCTCCTTTCGTCATCGGGACGGCAATTTTTACTGCTCCACGAAGACTCGTCCATCCAATTTTCCAACCAATACAGCCCTTTTAACCGCTCTTGAATGTACGAGCCTTGAATCGAACTAGATTTCTGGATTGTAACGAAGCAGAATGCCGCATTTCAATAAAAAAAAAAAAAAAAAAAACTGAAACGACTGAAGTCGGTTGATTCGTTCAGAAAACTTACCGGATGATTGTGGGAATTGGAAGAGCGGGTGCTTGAATGTGGTGAGGCCGATAAGGAAGCTCGAGTGGCACAGGCTCTAGCCTGGACACGAGCCATGGCCTGCATTCGACGAAGCATGTCGGCACTCTGGTTTCGAACGATGCGACCTCTAACAAGTGCCTGAAGCTTCACCAATCCTTTAAGTGCCCTCAATGCTCTCCTAGCCTACATATGGAATGTAGAAACCAACCAGTTGTTAGCTGTAAAAAATCAATATACAGATTGTATTGTAATGGAGTTATCGACAGAAAGAAATGGTGGATGAGGATTGAGGTGGATGTTTCATTGCGAGGTATGGAAACATAAAAATGAAGGGTCGGTCCACAAGTTCCAAAAACCAAGACCCATGTGCAACTGTTTGTAACCCTCCTCCTTCCATTAAATGTACCGACAAGGGTATCTTAGTAAATTCCCCCCAAATTACCAAGTACGCTCGAAACGCCGACTGTATCTTGACGGCCGCCGTCACCCTCCGGCGGTCACCCTCATGATAACTTCTATTCCCATGACCAGAAGCAGTTAGCCTCACAACCTCCGCCGCCGCATGAGCTGCCGCAAGCGCTGCCTCGGCCACCGCAGCCGTGGCGGCGGCGACTGCTATCGCATGTTTGTTAGCATCCAATGATTCATGAGCGTAGGAAGATTCCGATGGATTAGGTTTGAATTCCCGGAGAGAATCCGACCCGACTGAGTTTCTTTTGGGCCGGAAAAGGGAGCGGATCCACCTGGTTGCTTTACCCATCTACCATGATCGTCGGAAAACTGGGGAGAAAGTAGAATGAAGGAAAAGGGGGTGAAGATGGTAGTTCCAGTTTTGGACCCACGATAATTTAAAGGAAAGGGAATGGAATTTTGATTTTTGACAGATAGATAGATCAGATAATAGATAATGGTGTTGGTGTGAGTGTGTGAGTGCGTGTGTGTGCGCTCACGGACAAAATATTCATTGTCTCGTACTCACGTATTCTATTTCTCATCGTTATCAGAATCCATAAATACCTTTAAATCTAAACAAATTTGAGTTTTATAAATTTGTTCTAAAATAAATATTTGTTTTTAAAATTACCATCAAACATGTGTATCAATCGTACCAATTTTAAGCGATACATAGTATTATTAGTCACGTACCATTGTAGTACCATGGTCCCAACTTAGGGGTTGTTTGGTAATGACTTAATGGGTTGTTAAGCCTGTATGGCTTATTCGGTCAACCATATATTGTTGTTCGCTTCTAGCTTATTCGGTCAGCCGATGACTTAACCGCTCAACCATAAAAGGGGAGTCCTATGGACTCAGCCACTTATGCAACCATTTATTCTAAATCTACCATTTACCTTTTTTCCCCTAAGTTTGTTTTAATTTATAATCCATAATTTAATTATATGTTTTATTCATAAAGATCTTCTATAAATATTATAAAAAATAATAAGAAATTCAATTTAATTGAATTATTTGGGTTACTAATTAAATAATAATTTTCTCAAATAATTAAATATTATAATTATTAGTTTAAGACATGTTAAAAAGAATAAAAAAACATAGATAACATGTATAAATTAATAAATCAAAACAAATATCATTTGAAAATTATAATGTATAAGAAATATAATTAGAAAAAATCATCAAATTTACAAGAATTTGTGTGTTTTATGATATCAAAATCAAACCTTTGTGGATTGTTGAATTATAAATTATACAGCAGTCTGTTTGCTATGGGGAACTGTTGAATTATAGATTGTACAGCAGTCGAATAACTTTATGTTCTGAATTTACGTTTCATTTGATCTACTTGTTGTTCTTGTTATGGATATCTCATGTAATAAAATTGATCCACAAAAATAAAGACTGGGGTAAATAAATACCGAGGGTAAAATGTGTCATTTTTGACAATCAGACTGTTTATTCAACACAACAACCGAACAACAACTTATATGTTAATATACAGACAACTATATCAATACAGACAACTATATTCATACAGGTCTTAACAGAAAACAAACCGAACAACCCCTTAATTAATTATTTATTAGTTTTTGTATTTTTTTGATGTATTAAATATTAAACATTCTAACTTTAACTTTTATGTTTGTGCCTATTAATGTTTGCAAGTTTTATTATTTGCAATGAAAAACAGTTAGATATGATGTTGGTATTTGGAATGGTAATGACTAACACAACATGTGTTTGTAGAAGGGAGGGAGGAAGGGGTTGAATAAAAACACATTAGATTTTTACCATTAATTTTGTATGTTTATTAAAAACAAAGAATTACTGATTTGTTGGCGAAAAATAAGGATGTAAGACCTGGTCCTAAACAATATGTTTGGTGATAAATTTGTTGATTACTAAAAGAGTAAAAGAAGAAGATACCTTTCAGATCTGAAGTACTGAAATATTCCTTTAGATTGTTGATGCCGATTTTGCTTCAGAAAACTATCATTTAGAATTTCCTTCAAAAACGGGTGGTTTGCAACATATGACGAAGATGACAAGCCATCATTGCATTAAATGTTGTTATCCAGCTTTAAGGCGTGTTTTCATCTGATTTATTGATTGATGCATACTTGTACTCCTCATTTCAGCCTTTGAAGATGATATAATCTCTTTGTATGTAAGGGAAACAGTAAACAAATATGATACCAAGGGTCAAAATGGCGTGAGGCGTGATGTGGCAACAAGGTCAAGCCTTACACGCCATGACGAGGATGCGACGTTTTTCAAGGGTGATATAATGCGGCAAATTTGTATGTCATATATAAAATTATATATATACATATATGTTTTCGATATATTATCGATCAGATAATTATATAAGTAATTGTACATTTATATTAGAAAAAGAAAAATCATATAGATTATTATTAAAAAATAGTTTTGATTAAATATTTCAAATAGAACTTATAAAAGAAATCTTACAACTTCATTTTAATCGTAAGTACATAACGTTTATGATTTCGTGAAAAAGTGAGTGATGTGATTAGATGAATCTATAAAAGTGTAAATTTTAGAATAAAAAGTGTAAAAACACAAAATATAAATAAATTAAAAGTAACTAAAAAAGATTTGAACAAAAATAACGTCTTATAAAAAACTCATGTCGCGGCACGCCTCAAGGTGCCATGGCATGAGTCACGCCTTACAGAAACGCTGTGGGTCATTGTGTAATGGCAGAGACGCATCTTGCGCCATATCATGCCATAATGCACCTTTTTGAACATTGTATGATACTAAATAAAATAGTACTTGACATGTTGATCATGTTCCCATACCAGGACAAGAGTTGGTAGAGTTGGTGAGCCAAATTTGCTAGATAAGTTTGCACTCCAAATCGGCTTGACAGAAGTAGTGTTTGTCGGACTACTTTTGACTTTATCTTGTATTGATCTTTATTTGGATAGATGACACTCCAATCCGCTTTGGTAACTATCTTGACCCACTTCAACTAGTCTTCAATTTTGTAGAATGCCTTTTGTTCTTGTATCAATACAGATAATCATAAGATATTTACAAAGGAAAAATCCTATTTATTTTTCCTCCCGAAACATAAGCTATATTTCAGATTCCAACAACATTTTCTTTATAAAGTATTAAGCTTGGATCCTACAAAAGATTTAGATTATATGGATCCTACAAAAGTTTATAGAATTTTTAATCGTTTCAATTCATTGAAATGACATCTTGTCGGTCAACGGTTTGTAACTTACCTATACGGGTTTGCTGTGAGAGTCCCTATCTACTATTTGTATTTTACATACATCAACATCACGTTGTTATTTTTACATTTGCATTGTTCTAATTTGATAAAAAATGGGTCTAAATAGCAACATTTTATCATCATCATCATCATAGTTTGAAAGAGATTAGGATGTTGCTACTGTTGGATAAAATCAAAACATTGAAAATGTAAAAAATACAATTGTCTCCCTCTTTCTTTCCCCTCGGGATGCCTTGGATTCTGGTAGTTGAGGTTTCCTCCTATCCAAGCTCTTCATTGTTGCTGTTTTAGCATTTTAGTGTTTTATCTTGATCTGGAGGGGTCTCCCCCCTCCCTATAAAAAAAAATACAAGTTGATATTAAAATATGTTAAAAAAATAATTAAAAATATTCAAATATAAGAGTTAAAGGGATTTGGTTGGAGTAATTTAATGAGAATTTTTGTAGTAGGTTGTGGGTCATCTCACAATGATTGAGTGGGATGTGAATGAAATCAATTAGAATGGTATTAAATCTAATTAAACATCAATAACTAATACGCCCTTTACAGGCTTTACTTAACACAAACAAACAAATTCAATTCGATTGTGATTATTTTATGTTTTTCTTTATATATATATATATATATATATATATATATATATAACTTGGGTACATGTGAGACCAAAGGTTTTTCGTGAGACCTGTAATACCAATTCTCAACCCTTGGATTAGATCTACAATATCTGAACATTCATAATCACAAAATTACCACGAGACTTCTCAATAATTACAAAATTGTCACTGCACAATTTTAGACAATTAGATTATTAGCTTATAAAGTTGACCAATGCACATAAATTGATCTTACGGGTCTCACGAAAAACCCTTGGTCTCACGTGAACCCAACCCTATATATATATATATATATATATATATATATCTTTTGAATTTAAATGTTAATAATTATAATTTGTCTATATTTCAATCTTTTAATAACCATAAGCGTTCGAGTTAGTTCACATGGTACAATCGTACATTGACTAATATCACAGATCTTGAATTTAAAAGTTAGATAAACTTCTGAATTCTGATAGTCCAAAAGTGACCTGAAGCTATGTTGTCGAGTTATTTTTAAACACCAATAAAGGAATTCATTTATTTACCTTTATTTTTCTTCTCTTTCTTATTTTTTTTTCCAAATTTGAAAACATAACATTAATACCAATCAAACACACAAAATTTAGTCCCATTAAACATCTTTTTTCAAATTACGATTGAATTAACACTTAATTCATTACAACAAAATTGGGTTTGTAGGACACCCCAAATTTCTAAGCATCCCAATAGACCATTTTATAGGATTTAATTTATAGGACCAAAATATAAAACGTCTTATATCTAAAGGTGTTGTAATAAGTTTATATGACACTTTTGGGTGTCTTAACAAGTTTTTAGGACATTTTTAATACAAAGTGTCGCATTAGCAACTTTATACGACACTTTTGAGAAAGTGTCCTATAAACTCAATTTTTATAGGACATTTGTTTTTATTGAACAGTTTTCAAATAGTGTCCTACAAAGTTGTTAATGAGACGCTTTATATTAAAAATGTCCTAAAAAATTTATTACAACGTCGATAAATGTCATATAAACTTATTACAACACATTTATATAGAACGTTTTATTTTTTTGATCCTATAAACTAAGTCTTATAAAGAGGTCTATTAACACGCTTAGAAATTGGGAGTGTCCTATAAACCCGATTTTCTTAAAGTGATGATTGCAGTTAAATTTAATTATTTGTTAGCAATAAACATCTTATCAAATTAAAAGTTTGTTGGGCCATTTATTCTAATCAACTAGTGATTACGCACCTCTATTGCTTTTTAAATCCATGTATTGTCATGCCTTGGATATATAATTCACTTGGTAAAGAGGTGAAAATATAAGACAGATTATGAGCTCGTTCCTTTGCCCCTCTTATAAGCCTCAATCGTTGAGTGAGATCTTACATTAATGTCCTTGGAAGCACATATTTTCTAGCATTGTTTGTGTTTGTCGGTAATCAACTTTTTTATCTAAATCATTGTGTATATATATATATATATATATATATATATATAT